AGAGAAGATAAGTAGGTTTCAGATTGCATACCTTGCTAGAAAGGTATTCCATGCAAAAGTATCTCCAAATGAATACTGTACAGATATTTCGTGGTTGTATTGAGTGTGTGCAATCTCTTATATCTTTCTGATCATACCTGTATCTTTGAGAAGTATGAGAAAGGGATATGAGTGCTGAGGAAAAAAATTAAAAAAATCAGTGGGTGTTAAGAAGGGATTCAGAAACACAGAGTATGTTGACTTGGTTAGTTAAAAATGGGTCTCAGAGCTGAGTTTCATTACCCAACTAGGTAACATCATCAGTGCAGGTTATCTCTGAACTAACAATATTCTCTTCTGTTGCTTCTCCATCTCTGATCACCCTTTTCCACATTGTTTTACAGAGGATATTTCAAGCTTCAAGGGCAGACGTACCTTATTGAACCGTTGAAGCTTCCCGACAGTGAAGCCCATGCAGTCTACAAATATGAAAATGTAGAAAAAGAGGATGAGGCCCCCAAAATGTGTGGGGTAACCGAGACTAATTGGGAATCAGATGAGCCCATTAAAAAAGCCTCTAAGTTAGTTGTTACTGCTGAAGTAAGTCTCATAGTAAACATGGTTTGAGAACCGGGATTCATTTACTTGTTTCTAAAATGTAAAGTAAGAGAGAAATTCTTTGGGGAGGGGTGATTAGACAGAATTCAAAAGGGAGGAGCCCCCATTTCTATTTTTTTATTCTAGCCATGGTATAAAAGAAATAATGGAAACTTGATGAACAGAAAATTCATGTTCCAGGCTTATAGCATTTTCTTTGGTCATACAAACTTAGTTTGGAGATTTGAATCAAAATGGATTTAAATGAATCTCCAAATCATCTCCACTTTCTAAGTCAATTTTGAAAAGTAATCAAATTATTAATTTGGATGCCTCTTTTTGCATGCAGAGAGGACTTGGGATAGGGGGAGAAACTTGTTTCAAATATTTAACTGTTTTGAAATGTCTGATAAGACCATTACATAATCTTGAGAGTTGCCTCTCCTTACCTTGTCTTTGATGCATAGTGTGATATGATTGCAGGCAAGGTCTAATTGGTCCCATAGCATGACCACATCACCGTGTTTCTCATGTGATTGGTTGGGATCCTTTGTTTGAGAAAGGGAGGGAAAGGTGAGAAAGTCATTGGAGCATCATTTAGACAGGCTGAAAAACAGGTCAAAGAGAGCAATTTCCTCATGTGCCTATTCTTATTCCTATTAAATTCTGTTCAGAATTAGGTATTCATATATACCTTTATGTTTAAATGTAGGCATCATAAATTTCAAAAACAGATTAACTAGAAACAAGTGCCACATCTTATTAATACAAAGAAAGTGATTTTAATTAAAGGAAACCACTTTTGTTTGTGCTTGACAATCCATTGCATAATGTACTTTTTCCTCAAAACTTTGTCAGCACTTTCTCTAAGTCAGAGTTCCCCAACCTTTCCTATTTTGCGGACAGGTAGGGGGGAGGGGATGGTTCCACATGAGCAGTGGGGTCATGCGTGCACCCAGATCTATTTCTGTGAGCCATGGGCAAACCCCCACGCATGCAAATGGAGCACACCCACCCATGCTTGTTTGCTGGTCATGCAAGTGGAGATGCAGGCGCTCACCTGCCACTTCCATGTCCCAGTTCCGAAAGACTCAAGGACCAGGGATAAAATTTTAACCAACTGTCTCCCTATAAATGTCTTCTTGAAAGAACCAATATTTCTGAAAGTTCAAGTATTTTGACCAGAGAATAAAACTAGCAGTTTTCTGATTATCTGATGATGACCAATATTCTTGTTGGCTGCTGGGAGCAACATGTCTAAACAGCCTTTTCTTTATTGTTCTGTTTAGCAACAAACATACTTGAGCCACTTCAGATTCATTGAGCTTGTCATAGTTGCGGACTACAGAATGGTAAGTATCCTGGATATCTCTCCATTTTCTTTCTGCATTGAGCACAGCATTTTTTTCCTGTCTTTTTTAATGTGGGCATTTTTGAAGAGATTAATAAACATCCTAACCGGCTGTCTCTTAAAATGTGCTTTATCATAAACTTTGATATTTTTTGTTATTGGACCCAACCAATACTTACAAAGTTAAGAGTCATTTGTAAATATACTCTAATTTGCACATTTGTTCTTCCTGGATACCA